AAACAAAATAAATCAAATTATAGGAACGAAACAAGTTATGAACAGTGAATTTCAAAGGACAGGAGAATTAAAATTTTCCTTTGGAAATAAGATAACGAAGGTAAAATGCCAAGAAGGAGTTTTGTTTAGTTATTTTTATGAAAATACTAATCCCTATAAGCACAACGAGCACAAAAACAGTGACAAAATAAGGAATATTGCAAAATTTTAATAAAATGCTATATGTAAATAGTCACTGAAACTTAATTTCTTTTTCTCTGATATATAATCATACAAAGCACTTAAAACACATAGTTTTATTAAGCTAGCTATGTCATCAGATAAGATTCAATGACAGTACATATTGAAAAACTGTCGGCTGAGTATGGTGGCTCACACCTATAATCCCAGCACTTTGGGAGGCCAAGGCAGGTGGGTCATAAGGTCATGAGTTCAAGACCAGCCTGGCTAACATGGTGAAACCCCCTCTTTACTAAAAATACAAAAACTTAGCTGGGTGTGGTGGTAGGTGCTTATAATCCTAGCTACTTGGGAAGCTGAGGAAGAAGAATCATTTGAACCCAGGAAGCATAAGTTGCAGTGAGCCGAGATCGGACCACTGTACTCCAGCCTGGGCGACAGGGCAAGACTCTGTCTCACAAAAAGAAAGAAAGAAAGAAAAAAGAAAAAAAAGAAAAAGTGTTATATCACTTCTCCATTGCTGAAATATAAACTCTCATAGCCTATGATTTGGACTAGAACTTTGCCAATCAGTGACTGTTCACCAAATCTAGATTTTTTTTTTTTCTCTTGTATTTAGCAGTAAGATGAATTCTTTCTTGGGCGCTGGTGACAGCATGTCTATTACTAGGACCTATTCTTCCAAAAGTTGGCATTGAACAGAGCCTGAGGAGTCTTTCTTACATAGCAGTAAATGGAAGGGTGGATATGGGGCATCAGGGACAGCCTTTAAAATCCATTTTTATTCTGCTTAAAGTTAAATGGAATGGTATGACCTTACTAAATGGAATGGTATGACCTTACTTGTAGGCATCTCCCTGTGGCACAGTTCCATGAAAATAAGTTCTATATTGATCCTTAACATTAGTACGTCTATTAAACTAAGTCCTTCAAATGTATTGAAGTCTTAAAAAATATTTTATCAGTGTTATTGCTTCATAAGAATGTATTCACTTTAAATATGATTGTTCTTAGATAGGATCATTTGGAGGAGAAGAAATTTTATTTTCTTTTTGAATATTTCCTCTTTGCCTAACAACTCTCTTAATGACAATGTAAGCTGCATTTCAGAAATAAATTTACCAGTCTGTTAATTACACATACTCCTAAGCACCCCATTTGCCGTGTCCTATTTATCCTTTCTCTTCTTTTGTGATGCTTCCCTTTTTGTGGTCCCCATAACCTCCACTGCTTTCTTAACCTAGTCTTAATGTTCATCTACCTTAACTGAGAGCTCACTTACTCCTAGTTGGACACAATACTAAAACTGAGGAATTAATCTTAACAAAACAGATGTTTCTGTATAATCCAGTCTTGGTAAATCTGGAAAGGCTCCTTCATGGAGCTAGCATCCAAGCTAAGCTGCAGGGATAAACAGGAGTTAGCCAGGTGAACATGGGGGCAAGAACACATTGCGGGATGTGCACAGGCCCTGAGGCAGAAAGAACAGGGTGCAGCAGGGAAACCACTGGCAATTCTCTACAGTTTAAAGAATAGGCTTAAAAGATGAGAAGCGATAGAAATGAGCTGGAGAGAGAAACTCATGAAGGGCTTCAGGCATGAAGAAAACAATTCAGCTTTTGTTTGGAGGGTAGACAGAAACCATTTTAGCACTTTAATCAGTAAATTAACATATTCCAATTTATACCCTAATGGTATCTCTGGAAAAAGATAAAGAATGGTTTGAAGAAGGTAATTTTAGAAAAAAATAAAAATAAATTACTGTTATTATTGTTAAATTCAGTTTGGTTTGATACTGTTATCTTTAAAAACCTGAAATCTAAATTGTTTAAATAGAGAATAATAATACATTATTAAACCCATGCTAAAGTACATATATATTCAAAATGATAAGTCCAGAGTTACAGCAAGCAAAAATCTTGCAGTGGTGTGCCATGGCCCCTTGAGCATGATTTGTGTAGTTGAGACAATAGGCTGGAGAAACTTTGCACCATGTGTGTAGCTCTGTAGTTTGTCATCGTGAAAATGATTGCTGAACAAACCTTTTCTTCTCCCAGAGAGTTATATGTTAATTAAAATATCTAATCGAAGAAAGGTGCATTCATTTGGAAAGCATTCGTCAGTACCTACATAATCCTCAAGAAGGGAAAGAAGACAATTGAAAAACAGAGCTTCTATTTTAAAAGTAATTCTTACTCTAGTTCAGAGACTTCCTGAACAAGTTCATTTGAGCATGAGATTATTTAACTAATAACAGGTAACTGCTCCGAATCTCCATTTTTACATGATCAAACTAAAGAAGACAGAGAAGACCTAGCAATGCTTTGTTTGAAACAAAAACTGGAGCTCATTATCGATGAAAAGATTATAGTCCCTGTCAAAAAATTAAGTTACTCAAAATGGTCCCTTCAGAAGTACAAATGAGAGCTGACATTATTTGCATTCAAGGAGTTGGAGAAAATAGCTGGAGTTAGCTTTTAACTATTGCCTTACTACTTCCCTACCTCAGCTCATTTTCTGCTACTGTAACAATACCCAAGATGGGGTAATTTATAAAGAACAGAATCGTTTCTTATAGTTCTAGAGGCTGAAGTTCAAGGTCAAGGAGCCTGCAGCTGGCAGATGTCTTCTTGCTGCATCATCCCATGGCAGAAGGCAGAAGTGCAAGAGAGCATACAGCTGGGGGAGGGACGGGGACAGGGGGAGGGGCGAGGGCAGGGGGAGAGGTGGGAGCAGGGGGGAGGGGTGGGGGCAGGGAGAGGGGGCCAAACACAGCCTCTTATCAGAAACCAGTTTCTGAGATAACTAACCCTCTCCCACAATAATGGTGTTAATCCCCCCATATAGGTCCCACTTTTCAAGACTCTTGCACTGGGGATGAAGTTTCTAGCAGATAAACTTTGAGGGACACATTTAAACTGTAGCATTCCCCAAGTAGTAGGATGTCCAAAAGCATTTTTCTGGCAGTGGGGAAAGTCAGCACAAAATGTCCTTACATCCCAGCAGTGACACCATTGACACACATATTTTTAAAGCTAGCATTTTCTAAAATTTAATTTTCAAGTTACTCAGTTTTCTTAATTGTAGGTAATGTTTTCTTTTTAAAATCTTTGATTGATTTGATGTACAAATTATACATATTAGAGTCATTTTTACTGTTTATCGTTTTAAGCATTCAATTACACTTAATACTTTGAAATATGTTATTAAATTTTATGTTAGGATTGTGTTATATGTTTAGTGTCAACTTATTTTATGAATCACGAGCTTTGATTTGGCAAAACTAAATAGTGAAATAACGATATTGCCATTTTGCTCTGCTATTGCTTTCACCAACAAAAAATTGATGATGGGAAGCTGAATGTAGTGGTGATTAGAGAGAGAGAAAAATAGCTAGTTTCCAATAGAGACATGAGAGAATCAAAGAGACTTGGTTATTTGAGAGATATGGTATATGTGGAAGAAAAAGGGAAAGTAAGATTCTCTGCCTTCTTGTATGAGCTTGGGTAGATGTCATTCTGAACATTACCATTCATATGAAAAGGGACCATGAGAGAAAGAGAAGGAGAGTTGAGAAGACTGTGAGGGAAAATAGAAAAAAGAGGCAAAAAGACACATAATAAACAGCATCACTTCAGAGAATACTACAATTTCAGTGATTAAATGTTCAAAAATATCCCATCCCTCTACCATCTCTATCCTGTTTCTTTAAAAGATTTATATATACCAAATACATTGTGATGAATCTGGGACCTCCTTGGCGCAACAGAGGCGATGATATTTTAAGGGAAGTAGAAAATGAATTACAAACAGCTAGAGGCTCACATCAGAATGCCCTCCATCTCCTTAAACCTGAGTGATCTTGAATCGGACTAGAGCCAATATCCCTAAAGTTTATTGCCGATGAGTGAGGTTAGCAGCAGTTTCTAATCTTACAGCTAGGAATGCAGCCTGTGTATAGGAAGGATAAGCATACTCTTGTATTCCCATGATGAGAATGTGAATATATTTTCCCAGAAAGATGAATTTTTGCAGTGGTTATTTCCATAGTATTGTTAGCCTATTCCTTGGAAACATTATAGGTTCAATTACCTGACAAATAACCTAACTCCTTTTGTTTGGACCTTGGAATACATTTTCCCATTCAAAAAAACTTGTTAGAGGATAATTTAGGGTCATAATTATTTGGAAACTGTTTCTACTTTACATTAATAAAAATCAGATTTGAAAATTGTGTGAAGGTGAATCAGTCCTAAGAGCAATCAAGTAGATCAGTAAGCTACTCCAGTTTGCGTTCAAGGAGACTATATTCAGAATTGCTCTTTATTTTTTAGCTTGTCAGCAGTTTAGTTTCTGTTTCCTCTTTTTTTTTTTTTTTGTCTCTCCTCTGTTTGCTGCATATTTAGAGATGCATGTTACACTTCATGTGAAAGCAATATTTTATATAGCTCCTTTCCCTTCTACACAAAGTTTGATAATTCTAAGGAGAGGACTTAACGTTTTAATCCTCTACTTGTCAAAAAGGCTGAGAGCATTAAGAAGCTTACTGAAGAGTTGAGTTGTGCTGTAATTTTGTTTTCTGGGATTTGAGTTTCGAAGAAGAACCATTAAGAAGCCTATGTGTGGCAGTGGTCCGATAGTTGTTTTGATACCTGGTATTGGCTTATTTTGCCATGTTTAAAATGAAAATCAGATTGAGGACTTCTAGAATTGTAAAGCCTTTGAACTGTCAAGTAAAAATAATTTCTAAAGTATTAGGACATCTTGAGGTCCTACTGTGAATCAGCAATGTAGGTGTTTTCTTTCTAATTTTATTTCAGATATCTCTACCACAGGACCTCTTGGCATGGGAAGCACGACCACCAGTACCACCCTTCGGACCACAACTTTGGGCCCGGGAAGGAGTACCACGCCGTCAGTGTCAGGAAGGAGAAACCGGAGTACTAGCACCCCATCTCCAGCTGTCGAGGTGCTTGATGACATGACCACACACTTTCCATCAGCATCGTCCCAAATCCCAGCTCTCGAAGAGAGCTGTGAGGCTGTGGAAGCCCGAGAAATCATGTGGTTTAAGACTCGTCAAGGACAGATAGCAAAGCAGCCATGCCCTGCAGGAACTATAGGCAAGTCTGTGCTAAAGCATTAAATTAAAACTGTTTTGTTACTTTGGCTTCATTTTCTAGTGTTCTTTGCCTTTTCTTTCTTCCTTTCCTTCCTTCCTTCCTTCCTTCCTTCCTTCCTTCCTTCCTTCCTTC